TGAGCAGGCCTTTCTCTGGGTCACTTCTCATATCCCTACTGTCCATCTGACCCCCACTCCCCATTACGGCCCCCATTCCTCCCCAGTCTGGGGTGACATGCACGACACCCCCGGGGGCCTCAGACAGCAAGTGGTATTTTCATTCCTGGGAATGTGTGTACAGTGGTGGGTCTCTCTGGGGCGATTTCTGCCCAGGGGTCACTTGGCACTGTTGGGAGACATTTTGGTTGTCAGTGGGGGAGGGTGCTACTGCCCCCCACCATAATCCTGCTCTTTTTCACTACAGCCTACGGCGCTTGCATAATTCAACGATTCAAGGATGTTCCAGCGTGCCTCGGACGCTGTTATGAGGGCTCCTCCCTCACCGACCCCACAGGGCCTGGCCTCCTGGGTGCCCCTGGCCCCTCTCCTTCTTCCCCCAAACCCCCTTGGAGCTTCGTTCTGTTCCCGCCATTCATGCACCACCAGCCCGGGACCCTTTGTTCTCCCTTCTCCCCAGGAATATTCTCTGAAACCAGGGGTGCATCCTCACTGCTTCGAGCCTGGGTCCCTCTCTGGCCTGGTCTGCGGCTCCCTCTGGCCCAGGTGAGGGCCACTTCCAAGCCCGGTGAACCCCAGGCAGGCCGCGATGTCTCCTGACCCTTCTCTTAGCTACAGAACTTTTTAGGAAGAACAGAATGCTCTGCGTCTCTCAGAATGTTCCTTTCCCCTCCTCCTGCCAGGAGCACAGGGGATTTCCTCCAGTCTTTGCTGTGGGAACATGCTGGCGCTCCTGGATGGAATCCCGGGAGAGCTTGAGCCCACATTTCTATCTCTGGCGTTGTCCACACGGAGCCTCCAGCAGTGAGCCAGTTACAGTTCAAGTTTCCTCCCAGCACGGGTTCCCGGAGGTTTCTGCTCCCGCAGGTTGTGGTTCTTTTCTGCCTGTCAACAACCAGTTTTTGTGGCAGTAGTTTGCCCTGTGACCTCACTTCTCTGACAGAGCTAAGATTTGTTGGTTTTCAGTTTGTTCAGCTGTTCCCTTGTTGTTAGGACAGAGCAAAACTGGCAGGCTCTTTAAACGCCAGACTGGAAACCAGAAGTCTTCTATATCTTTAACAGAAAAAGCGTTCACAGAGGGCAGCCGGGTTTTGTTTTGCCTCCGCCCGTTCTCCTCCCAGTATGTACCTGTTACGGTTTCTCGTGTATCCTCTGAGGTTTCTGTGCTCACAGAAATATCTCGCAGATTATATGTGTGTGTGTGTTTGTGTTGGGTAGTTTTATACCAGTGGTATCATAATGTACACAGTATCTTACAATTTACTGTTTCACTTAGTGTATCTTGGAGATCATTCTTTGTAATGGCTGCATAGTATGGCTTTGATGGATAATTTAGATGTTTCCAACTTTCTTTCTTGTTTTTTTGTCAGTTATGTGCATTGCAGTTGTTTGACTTTTGTTTTGCAGTGATTTTAATTTCTTTTCATTGTGGTAAAATACACATAAAATCTACCATTTCTATCATTTTTAAGTTCAGTGGCATTAAGTACATTCACACTGTTGTGCAACCATCACCACTCTCCATCTCCAGAACTTTTTCATCTTCCCAAACTGAAACCTTGTCCCCATTAAACACTCACTTCCTGTTACTCCTCTCCGCAGCCCCTCGTTGCCACCCTTCTACTTTCTCTCTATGAATTTGACTACTCTGGGTTCCTTGAGATTTTAATTTTGAATGTAGACAAAGTTGTTGCTCTTTTCCTTGATGGCTTGTACTTTGCTGTGTTGTCTAAGTCAAAGATGATGATGATGCCCTGGGATGCCCTCACCTGGGAGGGCTGGGGCTCCGCAGTCATGCCGTGGCACTGCCACCTTTTCACCTGGATTTTCCTGGAGTGTCAAAGCTGGAGAAGGGAGATGAGCAGAGGTGGGTGGGGAGCAGATGCTCCGCACCACAGTCCCCAGTGAAGTGACTTCTGGTCTAGGGAACAGCAAGCCCTGCACCGCCCTGCACTCCCTCTCTCCTTTCTTCTTTTTTAAGCACAAAAGAAGACACTGACTAACCCTAGTGGGAATCCAGCTGGGACCTAGATGAGGAGCATAAAGCATCTGGTCAAACTGTCCTCCTGCAGGACTCCCTGCTAACGACGGTCTTTCGGCCTTTGCTTCACGTCCAGTCACTGCCTGAGGTCGCTGGTCCATCCCAGGGCACCCCGTTATTAGTCTGGACCTTTAGGTTGTGAGTGAAAGGAACTCAAGTCTAGTTGTTTAAGCAAAACATGTAATTCACTGGCTCAGAAACTTAAAAGCAACCGAGGACCTGATCCTCTGGTTCACCCGGCGTCCCCTTCCTCACCCTTTCCCAGCGGTTTTCCTGTTGCCACCTGAGGTGCCTGGATCACTGCTGGCAGCACGTGCTGACCTCCCGGCTTCTCAGGCCCCCAGCTGAGGGTGACTCTCCTCACAGTCATTCCAACACAAGCCAAAGCAGTAGGCTCCATCCAGTGAACCTGGATCACCTCCCTGTGCCTCCTGAACCAATCCTTCATGATGTCTTGAGAATATAATTCTTTTTTTTTTTTTAATTTTATTTATTTATTTATTTATTTATTTTTTCCCCCAAAGCCCCAGTAGATAGTTGTACGTCACAGCTGCACGTCCTTCTAGTTGCTGTATGTGGGACGCGGCCTCAGCATGGCCGGAGACGCAATGCGTCGGTGTGCGCCTGGGATCCGAACCCGGGCCGCCAGCAGCAGAGCGCGCTCACTTAACCGCTAAGCCATGGGGCTGGCCCGAGAATGTAATTCTTGATTGCCCAGGCTGAGGTCACAAGCCCAGCCTTGAGACTAAGAATTGAGTTGAGTCAACCCCATGGGCTGAACACAGGAAAAGGTACTTCCCTAACACAAACTGGGCTGGTGTTGTAAAAGGAAGTGGTGTGGATCCAGGGCATGAAAGACTGACATACCTGTTCCTCCACTGAGCTTGTTCATGTCTTTCTTCTCCAGACATGCCTTCTTTTCCACCCCCTGCGGATGGGCCCACTCTCCTCCATGTCCCTCACTGTCACCCCACCATCCTTCTTTCAAAGCACTTGTCCCTTTGCCTGTGGCCAGTGGTGTACCAAACTGGGGATGGGGTGGGCGTGGTCCACCCCAGCTACATCTGTGGAGAATCAAAAAAACAATCATGAAACCAAAATATAATCTTTTTATCATCACCATACACTATTAATTCTAAAATGTCAGTAATAAAATGCTCCTTGGAAAAAACAAAAAAACAAGATATACACATTTCTGACGCCACAGAGGCTTCCTTAAGGAAATATTTTAATAATCTGATCCCAATTTTCTGTTCACAGATGCTGAGAAACTCAATCTCAGGCATGTTTAGGGTCCCCTAGCCTTGTCACAACCACGTCACCCTGCGGTGAGTGTCCCCTCCCCCTTGGGGATTACTGACTTCCAGGAGTGGGTTGTTTCTGCCATTTTTTTTTTTTTTTGTGTGAGGAAGATCAGCCCTGAGCTAACATCCATGCTAATCCTCCTCTTTTTGCCGAAGAAGACCGGCTCTGAGCTAACATGTATTGCCAATTCTCCTCTTTTTTTTTCCCCAAAGCCCCCCAGTGGATAGTTGTATGTCATAGTTGCACATCCTTCTTGTTGCTGTATGTGGGACACGGCCTCAGCATGGCCGGAGAAACGGTGTGTTGGTGCGCGCCCGGGATCTGAACCCAGGCTGCCAGTAGTGGAGTGCGCACACTTAACTGCCAATGGGGGCCGGCCCCTCTGCCCCCATTTCTAATCATCCCTGGGGAGGGTCCTGAGACACCTCTTACTGGGCCAGTCCTTTGGGGCCCCTGGCTGGGGAGAGATGCTGGCTCACTGGCTTCCTTTCAGTGCTCTTCCCAAGGCCTCGCCAGGGGCCCAGCCGTGCTCTAGGCTGATCTCACTCCAGTCTGCAGGTCCATCCGTGTTGAACCACGTCTGAGGCTGGACTGCCTTCACTTACTTCAACCAAACCAATATATTCCAACTGACTGAATGCAGAAGCAGACGCGAGAAGCCAGCTACCTTCTACGAAGCCAGACTTTAAAGAGTCTGCAAAAATGTAAAAAAATTACCACTCTTCTCTATATTTTTGGGAAATATAGCTATTTTTTAAAAGTGTAATCTGTTTATTATTTTTAAATGAAAAAAGCATTCTTTGAAGTTTCAGTTTTAATACGGTAAACAATGATAGCTATGACCCACATTGGCAAAAGCTTTTTGAGGCCCTCAATCATTTTTAGAGCATAGAGTGGTCTTGAGACTAAGAGTTCAGAACCGTGGATCCAGTTTCATCCTCGCAGCAGCTGTGGGAGCGGGAGCGTGGGTCCCACTTCATCAGTGAGTGAACCGAGGCCGGGAGAAGGGAAGAGACCTGCCCTCCGCCTCGCCTCCCCCAGCCAAGGGCAGGCTTCGAACCCGGCCTAGTGCTCCAGGCGCGTTCCTCAAGCTTCCGCGGACCCTGCTCCCCCGGCAAGAGCGCCGCAGGAGGAGTCCACCCGCTCTGAGCCGCGTCTCCTCATCTGTCGTGTGGACGACGGCGTTCCTGCCTCCCAGGACTCCTGGGCCACCGCGTCAGGGAACGAGCGGACGCGAGAGCCACAACTCAGCGCGCGAGCGGTCGGAGTCGGCCGACAGGGAGGAAGGCTGGGTGCCGCGCTGGGGGCCCACGAGCAAGCTCTCCCGAGCCCGCTCCCCAGGTCCCAGATCCCTGCTCTCCGCCAGGCCGGTCTTGGGCGCCGGGCAGCCGCCGGCTCCTTCCGCTTGTCTCACTTCCGGCGCCCAGGCCGGAAACCTCCCTTCCGGTTCTCAAGATCGCGCTCCGGAAGTGAGTTATTATGCCAGCACCTAAGATGGCTGCCGACTCATCCGCCGCAGTGGTCAATGGAGGAGAAGCGGGCGCGAACCCGGAAGTTGCCCCGCTCGGCCATGGCAGCCTCCGGGGGCGTGGCTTCCGGCGGCCCGCGCCTGCGAATCGGGGCGGCGGGGTCGAGCGGGGGCGGCGGCTGACAGGCGCTCCTCTGGCGACGGCGGCGGCTGGTGCCCAGGCGGACGGGCGGCCCCCAGCTCGCGGCCCCGCGAGGCGCCAAGGCCGCACTGGGGGATGGACGAGGGGAAGATGGACGAGAATGAATGGGGGTACCACGGCGAAGGCAACAAGAGCCTGGTGGTGGCCCACGCGCAGGTGAGCGGCGGGCGGTCGGCGCGGTCCGGAGGCTTCCCCTCCCCCCCCCCCCCCCCCGGGGGGGCCCGCGTCCGCCGGCTTCTCTCATCCCGGCCTCCTGCCCGGTCGGTGCCACGCGCGGCCTCACGCGGTGCCGCCTCCGACTGCCCAGCCGCGGTGGGGCGGAGGCTGCGCCGGGGAGCCGCCAGGGGTAGCCGGAGCCGGGGTCGAGGGCCGGGCAGCTCTGGAGGAAGAATTGAAGTGCCCGGGATGCTGCTGCCTCCCAGCACCGAGAGTTCAGCCTCTGAGTCGCGTGAAATTGCTGTTCTCCTGCTGCTGTTAATAATAATGGAACACTGCCCGCAGGTTCTTCTCCAGAACCGTTTAGAATTTAAAGAGTTTCCTTTTCTTAATTCAGTGGGGATGAGAGTTTCAGAAAGTGCAATAAGGACTCCTAAGGAGGTGGATCGAGGAAGAGAAGCTTGTGGACTTGAGTGACGGCGCAGAGCTCTCTGACATCTTGCTGTCATCAGAGCGAGGCAAGAATGTGCTGGGCTGGGGGAGGAGCGATAGGTGTCACGCAGGGGTTAAGAGCATGGGAGCTGGAGTCACACAGCTGGGCGGATTCCCAGTTCTACCACTGCCTGGCCCGGGCTCCCTTTCTGCATTTGCAAAGTGGAACTAGTAACAGAATCCCCTTTGTGAAATCGCTAGAAAGATGTAGTGAGCAGGGGCTGGACAAGTTATGCCTCGCCAGTGAGAACTGTCGTCCGCCTTGGTCTCAGAGGTTAAGAGCCCTGACCCAGTCCTACAGCTCCTACCGGGAGGGGGTGCGGGCACTGGGTGGTGCCTTGCCCTGAGGTTCCTGTCCTGGGTGTGCTGGGTTAACTGTAGGGTGAGCTGCAGTCACCCAGGTGGCCCCTATGTTCTGCCTTTGCATTTTGTTACCCGTTAGCATGCTCAGTCGGGAAACTGAAGAACTGAAACTGTAGGCTTTGCTCAAGATCTTGAGATGAATCAAAAATGGACAAGGCTTAACCTGAAGCCGTTCTTTTCTCTACAGTCTGCTGGGCCCCAGTGTGTTTCAAGGTCCGGTGAAGCACGGGATGTTGCAGCGTGTGTCCCTTTTGTGGGTTATTGTGGTGACCCCCTGAATCCTTTCACAAAACAAACACTCGTCTTCTGGTTTCTCAGTAAGGTGGGACAGCATATCTGCACTTTAGGTGAAGCTAAGGCTTCTTTTAGTGGGAGATAATATACCGAGTTCCAGAAGTGTCAGATGAAGGAGCAAGTTCTAGACTCGGAGGGAAAGGACAGCAGGCTGGGAGATGGAGGCCTCAGCCACACACGCCTTCTCCACTCCCCCTGGCCAGCATGTGTCCACCCTCAGGGCAGCTGGGCCCCTTCCTTGTTGCACAGTTCCGGTTGTTAGAGTTGTCTTTCTTGCTTCTTTTCTTTTTCCTTTTTAAACTCAATCATCAGGCTACCCTGGACCTGTGCTCTTTATTCTTTATTTTAAATCTAAATTTGCTCTACTGTGCTCATTCCTGCTTGGTGGTTGTTAGCTCATCATTTGAACTTGAAGATTATCGTCTCAAGTAGTCTTATAAGACAGCGTTCCACCAAGCGAAGGCACTGAGGGAAGGAGGGCTGTGCTCCTTGGGTGTGGAGAGGCCTCTGTGCTCTGCGTGGGCCTTGAGGACCAGGGAGGAGGAGAGAGCCCTGGAAGACAGCTTTTCAGGGCCTTGCTGTGCCCAAGGAGAGGGTGTGTGTGCGAGAGTGGGACAGAGAGAAGGAGGGATGAGTGAGCACAAGTCTTCCTCTCCTGAGGGTGGGCTCCCCAGACCCACCTCATTCATTCCAAGGTAGAGGCGGCCTTTGCCAGGTTTCTTCCAGATCCAGAGACGTTGCTTTCTCGGAGAAGGCATTACCTACTTTCAGAAATGAAAGGTCCTTAAAAAGTGAAGAGTCTGCCCTCCCTCCCCTCAGTGTCAGAGCACCATGTGCCTTCAGGCAGCCGGTCCCAAGGCCTGGTGTCTGCACTAAAGGAACGTGGGATGGAGACAGACAGACAGACAGCCTTCCAGGCTGGTGGGTCGGGAGGCTTCTAGGAATGTGGGACTTGTAGACCATGAGGCTGGAGATGCAGGAGCTCTGTGCAGGCCGCAGGCAGTGAGAGGACAGTGGGAGACCTTAACTGCAGGCCAGTTTCCAACAGGTCTCTGCCAGCTTCCCTGCAGCCCCTTTGCGAGAGGTGGGCTGGCTGGCCTGTGTCTGCTGCCCTCAGCCCGGTGCAAAGCACCCTTTTCCCAGGCACTGGCCCTCAGCCTGGCGCTGACCCTCGGAGGTGCTCCAAGGCTGTGGCCCGCCATGCACATCCCCCAGGGGTGCCTGGAATCCCTGCACTGGCCCGTGGAGGGTCTTGGGCAAGGGCATTTCTCTTGTGGGCAGGTGCTTTCCTTTCCTCACTGCCTCCGAGGGCGCTGTCACTCGTTCTAGGGCCACGTCACACTTCTGCGCACGCTGAGCTGTGGTCAGCGAGCCCGTGGCCGCCCTCGTGCGTCACTGCTGAGCTGATTTCTCTCCTGTGGTGTCCTTGCCTTTACCTCCGCACTTATCCTGCACCTTTGTCTTGTTGGCTTTGGCTCGGCGTCCTGGCCTGTGAAGGTCACTGTAAGTTGGGTTTGTTATTCGATCTCTTTAGTGTCTCCAGTGGTGGGAGTCACTAGGCGGGCCAGGCACAGGGCCCTCCCCTGCTCCGGGCTGAACTGCTCTCCAGCTGCCCTTGTCTCTGGGGTACAGGGCACATGGGGGCCCGCTCCCTCCATCCCACTAAGCTGTTGTGACGTTTCCTTCTTATTGACAGAGGTGACGGGAAGGACCTTCCCACAGAGAGCATGCATCAGAAGCACAAGGGCTCATTTCTGATCTTTCGGGTTTTAGAGCCTCTTCCCGTGGGGGTTTAATGGTGGTGGTGGTGGGGGTTTGTTTGTGTGGCTCCTAAAGATGACGGTTTAAGCAGTCTGGGGCCACCTGACTGTTTCTCTTCTCATCTTGTGTTTTAGAATTTCCAGTTTGTAGATCGTACTTCTTTTTTTTTTTTTTTAAGTTTTTCTTTTTTTATGTTTTTTTTTAATTTTATTTATTTATGTTTTTCCCCCAAAGCCCCAGT